TTTTCTGCCTGGTCCAAATTAAGGTTAACTAATTTTTGTTGAATATAGTATCCTTTCATATATTTTGCTTTAATATCACCTAATTCTGCATATGCTTCAAAACATTTGTAAGCTGATTCGCAATTTCCTTGGCCTTTAGAAAGTTTATGTTGAATTGCTGCTTCATCTACTGTCATATAATTAAAATCTTTAAAACTTGTTATGGCCAAGTCTTCCAAGTCTTCTGCTTCATCACCTGATAATTTAAAGGAGTCAGAAATCTCCGGATGGTCTGCCGCAGCATAAATTTGGGGTGATGGTGTTGGTCTACAACCTTTTGTATGAAGATCTTGTAGTATGGTAAAGATCTTTGAAAATTGAGGTCGAAAGTTATGATCGTGATGAACAGCTAGGATAGTTTATGATAGTAGATTTACAGAAGTTTAGTATTTAAATAATGATAAAGGGCAAAATTATTTATTTTTTAAAAAATAAATATATCTTAATACCTATTTCTGCAAGTTCACGATATTCTTTTGGTAAAAGGGAACCGAGAGAAAACGTTTCACGGTAATTTTTGATGCAAACTTGCTCTTGAATAGCAAGAATATCTTCACCAAATTTCTCCAAAGGAATTTTTCCTTCGGCAATTTCCCAAAGAAGTATACCAAAACTATAAACTTCACACTTGGTATCATATTTATATTTATATTTTCCCGTTAATTTTTCCGGAGCGCAGTATCGTATAGCTTCTAGTGTTGCATTTTGATTTTGTGTACTATCGGTTATCGCTCGACTTGATTTAAAATTTGCAATTTTGGCAGTTTCATGATCGGTAATTAAGATATTGTCGGCTCTTATATCACGATGAACGATCTATCGAGACGAGTTTTATCCCCACAAAATAAAAAAAAATGTTAATTTAAGAAGTTAAGGATTTTCCTTTAGGGGGTGAAGTATTAAAAATATATTACCGAAACGGCGCTCAAGAAATTTAAGCCCCTAGCAATATCAAGAGCAAATCTTAATTTCAGCTTAACATCAAGTGAATATTTATGATAATATTCACGTAAATTGCCAAAATCAGCCCATTCCGTCACCAAATAAAATTTATCATCATATGAAGATAAACCATGAAATTGAAGAATAAAATGACATTCTTTCAATTTTTTCAAAATTGTGACTTGACGTTTAAAATTAGCTTTCTGTTCGTCGGTGCTACTTTGATCAGCCACTAACTTTAATGCAACATAATCGTTCAGTTTTTTTCTCCTAAATTTTCTTACATTTTGATTTTCTATAGGTTTACCTTCTTCTTCAAAATCATTATATTCAAGTAATTCACTTTGGAATACATCTGATTGATCTGGTGAATTTGCTTGTGCCATTTGATTCACCGTAGTATGAAGCGCATTAATTTGCACGACAATTTCAGAGACATTTTGATTTACGTCAGTTATACCGCTACCAATATCTTTAAGATACTATATAAAGACGTAACAGATATATAAATAAAAGCGTTCATAAAAATCAAATTATAATATGAGTTACCTGATTTAAATCTTCGACATCAGCCTTAATATCTTTGTTGTCCTTATCAGCATTTATGCTAAAGTCAACCATCAAAGAAAATTGCAGAAGTTGTATAGTCGAATCAAACTCATTCATTAATTCATTAACACGTTTTTCAATATTTTTTGCTTGAATATACTTTTTTAACCCTTTTAACTGAGAAATTTCCTCAACAAATTTACGAATTTTAACAATAACGTTAAGTAACTTATTTAAATTAAATAAATTTTTTTCTGAAAAAAATTTTACGTTTTCATCCCTACGATTTTTTAAATTTTTAACGTCCGCATCAGCTACTTGGACTCTATCCAACAATATCCCACATATTTTTTTATTATGTTCCGCTGCTTGATAGATTTCCACTATTTCGTTGTATATTTTGGCTACTTCTGTAATAAGTGGTAAGAAATTTACAAATGGAACTGCCAAGTTTAATGCGGATTGTGCTCCAGTAATCGCTGCTGAAGTTAAGTTGAGCGTTGATTCTGCAACGGCTCCAGTATTTTCAAGCAATACTTCAGCATTTATTAAGCCACTTGATTGTTTTTGAGAACCATCAACTGGTTTTTTAACATCTGGATGTTCATTTGTAGGCATTATAACTAGATATTTGAAATTTTCAAAAATTTTCAAACGTGGAGAAAAAAAAAATTTTAAAAAGTTTTTTGCTTCAATGAAACTCATTAATAGAAAGTTTCACAATCCTGAAATACACAAAATATGTACTTAAATGTTAAATAATGTTACAAAGAGAATTAAATCAGAGATTTTTCTTTGTTTTATGTTTGTGATACACGGAATTTCATATAAAGATAAAATATTTACGGTCCATAATAAGAATAATAACGATAAAGTTTATTCTATCATAAAATTTATAATAATTTGGATTTGGACTAAAAAGAAATAATTTATTTATTTTGTCTTTGAACAAATAGCGAAAGAAAACCCATTTATAACAACAAAGGAATGTTATTTTCTTGCAATAATCATTAGCTTGTCTATGTTGTTTATAAGCGGCTAATCTCATATAATTTGTACCTAATTCTGTATCATTTTCTCCAGCACCACCAGTGATATATAAAGTAGCTTGCATTAAACATACCAAAACTTGGCCATTTTCAGCGGCTTTGGTAAAATATAAAGCAGCTTCTTTTAAATCCTTTTGAACTCCTATACCCTTAAATATCAAACCACCATAACGTAATTGAGCTTCAGTAAATGCATCGCCTGAATCCGCTGCTTCTTTATATAATCCTGCTACTAATTTCTCATTTACTGCCTGTTCTAAATTAATGTTAATCAATTTTTGTTGAATATAGTATCCTTTCATATATTTTGCTTGCTTATCACCTAATTCTGCGGTTGCCATTAGGTTTTTTATGATGTCTTCTCGCCGCTTTATCTACTGTCATATAGTTAAAATCTGCAAATTTTGTTATGGCAATTTCTTCTGCTTCATCGTCTGATAATTTAAGATCATCAGATGTTCTTGCAAAGGAGTTATGTTAGGCGATCGTATTGGTCTAATTTAGTATTTAAAATAATAAATATAAAGGGAAAATGTATTTGTTTTTTAAAAAATAATATATCTTAATACCTTTTTCTGCAAGTTCTCGATATTCTTTTGGTAAAAGGGAACCAAGAGAAATTTTCACGGTATTTATTATTGCAAACTTCCTCTTGTATAGCAACAAAATCTTCGGCAATTTCCCAAAGAAGTATACCAAAACTATAAACTTCACATATTTTTCCTATTTTCCAACTTTTCTGGAGCGCAATATCATATAGCTTCTCTAGTATTGCTTTTTTTGATTTTGTGTTTTATCGTTTATTGCTCGACTGATTTAAAATATGCAATTTTGGCATTTTCATTCTCGGTCTATGAGTTTCACAAAAAAAAAAAAAGGTTACTATTAAAAGTCAAGAATTTCCTTGGGGATAGAAGAATTAAAAATAAATATATTTATACCACAGTTCCTAATCAATTTCCGTGACTTTTTTTACTGATATTATTGACCAATCATATATAAATCATTCAATAAAAGATAATTTAATAAAATTATTTAAAATATAGCATACATAAACTTATTTTAATAACCTATTTTTGAATATAAAAAGAAACATTCGAAAAAGTACAAATATTAAATATTAGTAATACATCTAAAGGATTTGAATTTAAAGAAATTTCTTGATAATATTCATCTTCACGCATAGCTAGTATTATAGATAAACAAAAAAATACACGATATAAAAGGCTTTCTGGATTATTTGAATTAACTCTAGGATGATGTAAAATATGTTGGATTGATAGCTAACCAGATTTTTCACCAAATCCATGTTTTTGCAGATCGCGTAATTGGCCATGTATATCAGAAAACAGATTTTTATCATATGAAGTAGGTGAATGATAAAGAAGGTGTTTATTAAGTGCGTCAACAGTTTGCTTAACTGATATTGCCTTATATTCATTGCCATCTTTTTTCATTGTAGAGATAAATTCTACAAATTATTTTTAAGCTACAATTATTAAGTTCAGTCAAAAGAATAAGATAACCAGAATTATTATGAAATACTTCAAATTTCATAGTCCAGCTTTTAGTAGATTTTTTAGTATTTTTTACTTTTGCTTTTCATGATAATAGGAAGCTTTTTCTTGAGCAATATCTTGAATATTGTGTTTGTAATAGAATCGTTAGAAATTAAATTAGTTGCTTTATGAAAACTTGAAAAATGCATATTTGTTGCAGAAGAAATTCAATTATATTTTTTACCATAGTTAAAATGAAAAGAAGAAAATAAAAATTTAAAAGAAGTAGTAAAAAATGAAAAAAAAGGATAACACTAAAAAAGATAATCAAAAAAGTTTATTCATATAAAAAAAGTGTTATATATGACGATATACAAAACTGTGATATAAAACAGTTATTTCACAGGAATTTTCATGAATACATACATGAATATCATCCAAGGGAGACTATCTCTTATTACACAAATTTTCTTATTTATCAACCAATTAAAATCGGGAATTCTATCATGTAATTCCAAATAAAAAATACTATTATAACTAATGCGAGTTACATAAATCAGTAAAATTATATCACTAACAAATAAATCATTAATAATTAAATAAGACACCTAATCTTATAAAGATTAAAAATTATTTAATTGACTTTATTTAAAAAAAAATTATAATTCCATAAATGATTTTTCGCATTCTCTAATAAATCCTCCATTGCTGCATCATAATCTATTGTCTCTTCCGCATCATCTAAATCATTTTTGATTTCAGTTTCATTATCTTCTTAAATGAATTCTTTTGAATTTAATCCTGTTTTCAAAAAACTTATCATCTGAGCATTGATGTTTTTCTTGACTTCACCCTAAAGATAATCTATACATATTAAACTGACATCTTTGCAAGCATAAACTATGATAATCATGCTCGCATGCTAGAATGCTACCATTAAGCAAATCATTAGTAGAATCACAATATACATAGTCACATAAAATAACTGTATTTGATTGTCTGAAAGTGATAAAACCTCTTAGAAAGTAGTGATCAGTTACTTTATAATCTAATGAAAGCAATTTGTAGGTATTAATACCATTCTTGAATGAAAACTTAATAAAAGGATATTAAAGATGCATATGATATATTTTTGTAAATGTGTTTAAAAGCAATATATGCATTTTTGAGAAAGCATTTGTAATTGCTTTAGTTGATATAAATATTTTATGGAATTTACAATATGCTGTCAAAATTCATTATTCTGATAATATTGAAAAATAAAGCATGTCTTTCTGCAATTGCTTAGATGTGAAAAATTTAGGGGTGTATCATTAGATAATACTGTGAGCATTTTCTACAGAACAATCACTAAGCGAATCAAAATGATTAGTAAACATGCTTCTCATTAGATGATTAATTTTCATCCAATGAAAAATATCTGAAAAAAACATTAATGAAGCACTTTTATAATTCCTTCAATCAAACTGAAAGAATAAATTACTTTAACAATGCATGCATTCTTTATAGGCCAGCCAATTTCTCTTTCTATAATGCATCACATAGATATTGAGAATTAAAAAAATCAAATTGCTTAGTAAATCGATTAGATATAAAAATTCTATATTCTTGCATGTATTACCAAACTTCAAATAAACAGTTTTGGTAATATCAAACTATGCTATATATATAATATGGAAAATTAGATTGATTCTTTGTAGTTGTAGATTTCACTAAGATTTTATGTATTTTGAATATATTTTTGTAAATATCATTGAATAAATATGAATTATATGAGAGGACTCATAATAGGTAAAAATAATATAACATATAGAGGAATAGTTTTATTGTTGAGAAGGAGTCGATGTACTATAGCTTTTTACTAGTCGAAATGATACAATTTAGCTAACAATCGGATGTCTGAATTGTGTCTGAATTTATGCTGAATTATGTCTGAATTATGGTTGAATTGTAATAAATTTGGCTTAATTCCTATTGGCACAATTCAGCTCTATGATCAATTTAGACATAACAATTTGGACACAATTCAACCTAAAAATTATGCTTAAAATCAATCTAAATTTAGCCACAATTCAGATACAATTCAGCCAAAAATCATCCTAATACAACCACTTAATTCAATCACAAATCAATTATAAATCAACCATAAATCAGATACAAATCAGACATAATTTGCTAAAAATAACTTAATTCAACCATCTAAAATCAACCTAAAATCACAAATCAGAACTAATATAACATTTAAATTTATTTAAATTTATTAAATTTATATTTTTATTATTTTACATAATTGATAAATTTAATTCCTTAAAAAGAAACACTTTCAATATATATAAAAAATAAAGTAAAATAAAGAAATGAATCAAAAATTTCACCTTTAATTAATTTATAAAAAAATAAAAAAAAAAGGAAAATAATAAATTTTTATTCAAAAAGTTACTAATGATTTGCTTATCTTAATTTGAAGATAAGAAATTTCTTAAAAAAATAAGAAAAAAAAAGAAAATGATAAAATTTCACCCAAAAATTCACTAACGATTTGCTTATCTTAATTCCAAAATGATAATTTTCCTAAAAAAAAAGAAAAAATAAGGAAAATAGTAAATTTTCACCCAAAGAATGATTTACCACATTTCTGAAATGAGAATTTTCCTAAAAAAAAATGGTAAAAATCTTCAAAATTAGAAAAAAAATACAGAAAAAAGAAAGGAAAAGGGTTAAAAAAAAAAAGGAAATTTTTTTTTGGATTAATCCGAAAGTTTTTGATTAATCTAAAATTTATTTGTAATTGTTCTAGCCAATTGGATGATTATGTATTATCCAATTGAAATATTGTTACTATTGAATGATTTGTATCGTCCCTTAGGAGATGATAATTTGATTGTTCAATCAGATGACTTTTCATCATCTGATTAGTACAATGATATTGATTTGAATGATAGTGTATTGTCCCTTTGAGATGATAATTTGATCATTCCAATCAGAAGATTTTGCATTATCTGATTGGAATGATATTGAATCGTTCAAATTGAGCAATCATCATTCCAAAAGAAATGATTTTTTATCATTCTTAATGAATGTTAAATTTATGTTCCTTTAGGACGATTTTTTAAATCGTTCAATAAGAACAATAATTTATCATCCTAAAGAGATGATTTTTTAATCGTTCCTAATGAACAATCAACTTATTACCCTTTAGGACAATTTTTTAAATTGTTTAATAAGAATGAAGATGTATCGTTCCTTTAGGATGATTTTTTAATCATTCTTATCAGATTTGTATCATCCGATTAGAATGATATTGAATCATCCTTTTGAGACAATAATTGTATCACTCTATTTAGAATAATTATTTATTATCATATCTTTTTCCAATTAGACAATTTTTGCATTGTCCTATTAGACCAATTGGAATTGATTTTTAGCTTAACTCCAATATACCATAAATCAGTCATAAATACGATAGCTGATTTTTGATCGATTTCTGAATTTAGTCTGAATTGCCAAATAGCGATTTTTTTGATTTTAATCAGTATTTTAAATAAATAACTGACTAAGCCAATTTGCAATAATAGGAATTATATGGTTAGATAAATATTCTTACATTAGTTGTTGATCATTCACAATTGAAAGGCTTCATATAATCTTTTATGCTTTTCAAATTATTTTCGACAAAGTTAATAAGAATTACATTTTGTATATAATGATTTTTCTTTTCTCTATCAACCAGTTATTGTAACTATGTATCTCATTATTAGAAGAATCACTTACTATATAATTTTGTATATGTTTATGATAAGAAATATCAAGATTTATGATAAATCACCTGTCAATATGTCTTAAAATCAATTTGCTATCAATGATCTTTAAATTGATTATTCCATTATGTGAAATCACTAGCTTAAAATATGGATTAGCTAAGATTGTGATTATGTGAGATACCAAGATGTATTAGTAGTATCAGTTTGTCTTTGAATGTGAATATTATGATAATTATCAATATTTAATATAAAGGTATTTTCTAAATATTTTTCAAAAGAGTTTTCAACATACCCCTTCCCCTATATCAGTAAATTTAAAAATGCGAAACATTATGTAATTCCTATACTCCATAATATTATATAAGGTTATAAGGTTGCAAAAAATTTATGTATGCATAATACTGCAAAGGTTTATGACATATAGGACTTCAAATAATTTACGTTGTATAGTATTACGTTGGTTTTGCAATACATAGTATTATGATAGTTTATAATGCATAGTATTATGACAGTTTTATGATGTGTAATATTATAATAATTTTATGTGTAGTATTATGATATTTTTACGATACATAATACTTCAAAGGTTTAACAATACGTAATACTACAAATATTTATATTTCGTTAATAAGTTTATGAATTTTTTATTATTTATATTCTGATCACTGGTAATTGCTTTTGAAAATTTTGGTAACTCATCATTTTATTACACAATACTTTTAATTATTATATTACTTTAAATAAATTTGTCTCTTCGTATTAATTAATTCTATTGATATTTTATTATAGTATTTTTTAAAAAAAAAATAAATAAAAACCCCAAAAAAAAAAAAAAAATCTGCAAAAAAAAATAAAAAATAAAAATAATAACTAAACAAACAAAAAAACTGGTATAATATATCACATTTTTGAAATGTCAAAATAGATTTGGTAAAATAAGTCAAAAATATATAAACTTATGCAATATTAAATAAAATAAATAATTATAATAATTAAATATATCTTATATTATTTAATTATTCTTTGTTATTTTCGTTATTTTCATCATCATTGTATTCATCGAAATCATCATTATCACGTATATTAACAACGTTATTTTTGTCAGTAATATGGTTGGAGGTATAAGAATTTTTAAAAGTGATGGATGGGTTAGTTAAAGTGTCGTTTCCAAAATCATTATTATCAAGTTTCCTCTAAACAAAAAAATTTTAATATATTTAGCATATTCGCAAGTTTACAAGTAATATTTTAAATTTTAAATTTAGTATATTTGTAAAATTACGAAAACTTACCAATATTTTTTTTATTTGCAATTTTACAATAGTTTCAGAAATATATATGTGTTCAATTTTTGGATTTAAAAGGATATTGCAAATAGTGGTGATGTAGGCCATTTGAAGATGTATTTTTTCCTTAGATTCCTATACTTTATCTAAAATACAAGTTAGATGAGTAAATTGTTCACCTTTCTTTATCAAAGCAAATAATTTAACCTGGCATTCTTTTAATTTTTTGGATTTTTTCCAACTTTGAATCTCTGCCAGACTTTGCATTTGTATTAATTAGTGGTAGCTGGACCTGACCAAATACTGAAAACATTGTATCCTTAATTCAAGATGTTAAAGATTCATAAAGGCTCTAATGTTATTTTAATAACTGTTAAATAAAAATTGAAAAAATTAAAATTATATAAAAACTCAATCAAATTTGTATTTAAGTATGCAAACTTACAACATGATAAATATTTTTTTCATAAAAAGACGTTTAACACTTTCTGGTATATTTACCAAAAAATTCAGGATAATTTGTCGATACATATTCTTTTATAATTTCTCGCAATTCTTCTTGCATTAAATATATCAATCTAGATAGTGTCTTTTTTGCTATATTTTTAATCAGATTCTATAATAAATAAATCAAAATAAAATATGATTATATAATACATATTGGTTTTTTAACATATAACTAAAATAATATAAAACAATTTCTTATTTTTTCTAAAGTTTTATCAAAGCCTATATGCTTTATACAATCCTCTTTCAACTTTATGATTCTTTCTTCCAGTTTTTTTTAACCTGCTATTAATGTATTGAGTTTAGTATTAAGCCTCGCATTTTGATTTAATATTTTTTTTAATGTTTTTGTCAAAACTTTGTATAAATAAAATAAAACTTATTTTAAAAAAAATCTATATACCTATACATGTCTTTAAAATGAACTCAAATTTAATATTTTTATATACCTTTAACAGCTGACCCATCGATATTATTATTATTAAAGCTTGAATTTTTTGCTCATTTACTTGGTTCAGCTTGTTCTTGAGTTAGTTGATTTGATACTTTTTTTCTATACATTTTAAATTTTTTGAGAGAAAATAAAATAAAAATAAAAAATGAAATAAAATAAAATTAGATTTTATATTGAAACGTTACATTACAAAAAAAACCAGAAAACTTGTTTCATTTTATAAGATTTATGCTGACAACTTTTTTAAAAGAAAAGAACAAAAAAACATATTAAAAAAAATTGTTTCATTATACTGTGAAAATTAAAATAAAAAGAGTTATTTTGTGAAATTAGCAAGCCTTATTTTTAGACTCTTCAATATTAATCAATATTAATCAATATTAATCATTACAAAAATTTATAAAAAAAAGAGCAAAAAAAAAACCAAATGGTTAAGTATAAAAAAATGTAAATAAATAAATTACACATATGATAGGTTAAGGGCTTTTGCAAATCTGCGAAAAAATATTTTTTTGGAAATGCACATTCCAACCATAGTATCTAAATAATAATTGATATTTTTCATATTTTGTTCTTTTGCGATGTTCGTATACTCCATAAAATCGCTAACTCTATATAATATTAACTGGTCTTCCTTTTCACGAAAATAGGATCCTTCATAACAACATAGCTAAATTGTTCACCAGAATTAGGAATTCTTTCATTTCTTTTCCTCATATATTTCATAAAGCGATTATTGCAAAGTTTTTTTTCTTAGGCCTTCATGTATCCAGTATAATAAATTCATTGAAATCTCATTCCTTATCCTATGCTTTTCTAAGAGTATCTTCAACAATTTTGCAAATTGAGTGCGTATTATTTATATCTATAGCTTCTCTCATAATCTTCTTTCTGATGAATTTGAAAATCTGGGATTTATCTTGCTTTACAGTTTCTATCCCTTTCATGAAAAGTTTTTCAGCTTAAATTTTATTACATCTTTATGCCCAATCTTAAAGTACTTCTTTTATCAGTAAAGTAGATGGGAAATAATACCTCTTCATATGCTATCTTTAGATAAGATGTCACACTTTTATCTTAAGATAAGCGTTTACTTGATTATGTAACTTTTTTATCACATTTATAGCAATTTTGAACATTTCGGTCCAGTACGCTTCTTTGGAAATTTTTTTTTCTGAGGAAGGCTTCATCGCATTTCCCATAATACCTATCTGAGCAAGTGAAATATAAAGAATCAGTATCCTCATATTTTATCTCAAACACTTTCTTTGATATGAATTCAGCAATCAGATTAAGGTTATATTTCCTGCCATAGTAGTTCTGCAGGCAAATTCACGAAGAAAGATTGGAGATTTTGAGTTTTCCGCTTCTCTATAAAAGTATTTATATATACCTTTAAAGCCTTTTGCTTTAAATCCCAATAATCATAATCGAAGCATACAGATAAGTATTCTAAATTTAAGCTTTCCAGAATCCTTTTGCCTCTTTCTTTAGCTGAACTTATCATCTTTCCAAGATGTTGCCTTTTCTTTCCTAGTGAGATCAAATGTGCTTTAAGCTTCAATCTCTTGTTAAATAAATCCTCTAATACAGCTGGGTATATGCCTTTCTTTTCGTTTGGCTATCATGATAGATGCATCAAGCTTGAACAATATGTTTATTAAATGAAAACTCAATCTTATGCAAGTTATTTCCATTATTTTGCACAATATTAGCATCCTTTGGATCAAATATAAATTTTTCTATAAAGAGGTTATATGTCATGATAATACTGAAATATAATGAAGTAAAATCCAATCCTGTTACAGGACTTTCTTTTTCAATCCCTTTTTTAGGTGGAAATAAATACGCATCAGGATATTTCTCTTTTTCTATATTTTCAGAAACTCTTGTACTAATTACCATATCTTGTTTAATAGTATATGCGCTAAGAAGGTTCTGTATCTTCATTCCATTTGCGTAATAGTGTGTGTCGAAAAGAGAAACATAAACTATGGAAGTGACTTCTTTATAATCATTTATTATACCAAAAGCTCTTGATAGTGCAGTATGTCTATAATACAGTAATGTGCTACTTCATGGATATTTCTTGCGATTGATAAGGAGGGGCTTTTTTTCACATCTGAATAAATTTTTCACATTTTATCGTATGGCATATCGGCCTTACTGTCAAGACCGCACTTTTGTAAGAAGAATTTAAGTGAGCCTTTCTTTTTAACTTCAAAATGAGGGTAATATTTTTGGAGACACACTCAAATATCAATTGATATGTATCCTAGCAATTTAAGAAAACTGAAAAAAAATTATCATTTAGATCTGTAGTAATTTTGATCCTAATTGATTCCCCAAATATTCCTTTTCTTCCAGATCCTCTTCCCCTTCCTCAGAAGCCTTAATAGGATACTTTTTTACAAAATCATTTTCAGATTTTGCTCTAATCTTTTCACGGTATTTCCATTTTAGGATTTCTTTCTTTGTTTCAGACTTTCTTGTTATTCACTCCTACATCCATTTGAGTATGTTAAAGTGATAGGCTCTTTCTATAATGAAATGCCAATCATAGTCTAAATCATTGAACCTAACTTGGATGTCAGAGGCAAATGCTTACACATATGATTATAATTCATCGTGAATCTAGTTTTGTCTCAACATCGACAAGACATATTTACTTTAGTAGTTTTAGATCATTTTTCTAATGCAGTGTCATGCCAATCATAAAAAATTATGATTCAGATCAAGAACTTTGGCAAATTCATTCAACTCTCATGATGCGTTGCTATATCCTATGTGAGGACAAGATTACAATCTCACAATAGGGAATTAGTCACTTATTGTTGTGAAATCCTCTAGTGGACAGAAATCTTTTATTGATACATAGAATTCATATGGATAGAGCGAGCTAGTTCGCTTGCCTTTCTTGCATATATATTTGTTTAATGTTGATCACCCAGAAAGTTGGATTCTGTTTTCTCGAGCCACCTTTCGGTGGAAAAAGTATAAATCATCTGAAGCAGTTTTGAAATTATTTTCTTGGATAGCTTGAATGATTTCTTTTCTTCCTTCAGTACCATTCGTATAAATTTGTAAATATAGTTATTTTCTGTATAGTATTCACAGAAAAGGAATGCTTTAATGTATTCTATTTTATATGATTTCACAATATCAGAGAGAATTTTGCTCACCTTTCTTCGCATTTTTCTAGAGTCTCTCCGTCTGGTACGAGAATGTCAAAGAAAACCTGAATGCCTATAAGAGTTACCAGTATTTTTTGGCCATTAATAAAGCGACCATAAAGATGCAATACATGGCAGTACATTTTTTTTATCTTTTTTGTTGATCTTTTACTATCAATAGCTATGAATGGAATTTCTCGACAATTGGTTAGAGTATCATCAAGGTTTGCGGTTAATTTCTCATCATTTTCCGCAATTATATCATTCAGAGTTAGAATAGCCGATAAATATTTTCGCCAAAATAGGGAATTACCTAACCTAGTATTTTTTCTTTTTCAGCTTCTAAGCAAAAAAAGGCAGAAGCATCAAAGAATTCTGAAAGCTCTGATTAGATCATAGTAAAAATTTTCAATTATGTTATCTGTATACTGTTCCAGTATAATATTCTAGTAAAAAAGATTAAAATAAAAATAAATAATTATAGATATCAAAGTGTTATTTATCTAAGAATAATAACAATATGCGGTAAATATATTTGCCAGTATTGTTCCAATGAAGGAGAGATTTGTGAACAGGGAAGTAGAAAACTAGAAGGGTGTTATATTCACTGAAAAAGATGTTAGTAACCTCTATGCAAATAAGATGAATGTGAAAGACTGATGGCTTCTAAATATGGATTTTGTGATTAGCATGTAAAAAAGTACTATTCGAATGCATATTATCATCAAAAAAAGTTGGATAAGATGTTTTAGAACCGTCAGACCTAGAGGCAATGAGTTAAATTTTCAATAGGATAAAAATACCCGATGCAATAGAGTGTTTATCTTAGAAGTCATCCCTACTATCTGTAGTGAAATTTTTCTGACAGAGCTTTTGAGGTGACATTAAAAGTAGGCTTTTTAATGCTTCTAGATCTCCAAAAAGTCTTTTAAGTAAGCTGTTTCCCCTGTTTTCATATTCCCTATAAAAAATCGAAACTTCTTAACTTTTTTTATTTTTTTATCATGAAAATTCCTATGATATATATTACATATATACTATACCATAACATATATATATATCATAAAGATAGCATAGAAAAATTTTATTTTTTCCTAGAATTTATTTTTACTAGGGTAAGTAAAAACAGGGGGAATAAACAAAGAAAATATAATCAATAAGCTTAAAATCCCAAAAAACAATATCATGGTCATCCCCCTTGAGTCTTCTCAGAAAAATTTCATTATAAACAGAAGGGACAGCTCACAAAAAATTTAGCATATATATCTTTATACAATATAGCAGAAAAATCATGCCTTACTTTGGTAATGCTCTAATATTGAAATATGTAAAAAATAATTATTCCAAAGTATATACAATAATAATAAATTCTGAATGTTATTCTTTGAAACAACAAAATACTAATTTGCAATTTGACTTACATTTACTCACAAGTTTTTAAATATACAATTGGAGATTAATTCATTAAGAGAACAAGTTAATGAGCTTAGAGATAAATATACTAGGCTTAAAATGTAATTAGCTCAGAAGATTGAAAAGCAAAATGAGATAGTAAGTTCTAGGGAAATGTCTTATTCTAATGCTGATCAATTCATAATAGATTATATTTTAACATAGCCTGAAGACATTCGTTACAAACAAATATGTTGCATTACTTTATATCAGAATTATCTTACTTGGTGTAATAAAAATAATAAGCAAGTATTAAGTAGTAATATTCTTGGTAAAAAATTCTCACAAATAAATATTAACTGTAAACCGATATGAGTAAGTGATGGCAATAGAGAATGGTAATATAAAATTAGACTGATCTAAAATTATAAGCAAGATACATGGTATTATATTTGATAACAAATAGCTACTGAGACACTCAAGATACAGTAAATTATGATGATCTGGCCAGCACTATTCCACAACTTCAGCCAGAGCTTTGAATATAATAATTTAGCATCCAAGCTGACATAAAATTGGCAAACTAATAGAATCTCTTTAGTTCCTCACCAGTTTCATGACAGTTCTAGAAGAGTTCTATAATACTATCAGGATACTATCACGATGCTATCATGACATCAAATTAGATCTTAAATCACATGTCCAAAAAATTGACCAAAGTTATACCATAGAGCTAGCCAAAATTAATCGCAAATTCACTGCGCTACTTGACATATTCTTTTATCTTAATTTAGCATTTTAACAAGCAATCAAGCAAGTGCAAAAAAGAAGCATCTTCGATAACTTAATAGATCACAAAACAGGTCCAGAAGCAGGTAAACAAATGGATAGCTCTTTAGGAATAAAAAGAATACAGAGTAATGTAAACACATAGATAGTTTCTTGATAAAAGAAAGGTTATAAATAAGCAGGAAAGTATACTTTATCAGACTATAATATCACTGTTAGATCATATAATAATCACATTAATAAAATGTGACGCTACCAATCTACCATAATATTATATAGCAGGAATTAATTAAAATAGTACAGTCAGACCTTTCTAAATGCACCCCCTTTGGGACTGAGTAAAAGAGTGCATTTAGAGAGGGTGTGCATTAAGAGAAAATCTGTATTTTAACAGATTTTTATAATATATTAACTATA